AGATGAATGCATCAAAATTGTGCCAAAAGCATCGGCTGTCTGGAATCTTCTTCTCATTCTCACGTGTTTCGGATGCGATCCAAGACGTATGCCAATGCAGCGGCTTCTTCTGGATTGCTGGTGAGGTTCATCAGGGTATCAACTGCTCTGGACACATGGTCCTCGCTTGTACCATCAGGTGCGAGGGAAAGAGCATGGACTGAGCTCACTGGTGGCGGGTCAGAAGGTTCTGAGGACCAAACCGGTGTGGTATCCAGTGTGGCCTCGTGAGATGCGTCCGGAGCTTCTGATCGCGAGGCCTGTGTCACAGCAGGCCACCATGCTGTCAGCTGTGGTGTCTCAATTGGCAGTGGGATAGACGGAGGGTGATCGTGTGGCGACATGTCGTTGTCTTCCTCGTCTGACGGTGTCTCAGGGAATGCTCTGTTGAGATCAATGGGGTCAAACCGAGCGTCCAGGGTCAGATCTCTGATGCGACTCGCGTGGGCCTCCGGAAGAAGCCAAAGCAACGCCACCTTTGAGGTGAAATCATCAGTAGGCCGTGACATCAGAAAAGGCGGTATGCCATCGTTCCTGAATAGCCAGCCAGTGGGAACCCTGAGCATGCAATCGTAGTGGCCAGAGCGACCAGTTCCAGTATACGAGCATGCTGCAACCGTGACATAAGGAAGCCAAATGAGATCAATGCCATTTGAAGCGAAAAAAAGGAACTTGGACTGTCTCTTCAAAAGAAATCTTGGTTCCAATGCCTTTGTTTTTCACGAATGGCCAAAGACGATCAATGTGCAGTACAATGGGTGAATTGGAGTCAAGAAAACCAGACTTCATGCCAAGGCTGCTGCCCCACCCAGCGAGCAAGTAGTTCAAGTCCAGCGCCTGAGCATCCAGTTCAGTGAGGTTATCAAAACTTGGAACCTGATATGGACTGCCAGTATCATCAATGCGTGGATGATCGTGTTGCAAAAAGGTCCTTTTCCATGTCAAGCAAATGATCTTGCTTTGGAACCATTCCAAAAGATGCGTACTAAGCTCTGCAACATCGTGCTGAAGCTCAAGGTTTCCCCAAGCTTGCAAAAGAGGCTTCAGAGGTGGCAAATCGGCCAAAGCCACCAATTGCTGAGGTCCGTATGCAAGCATATGCGATAAGAGATCAGGCAGCAATGTTGCCAGCTTCCCCATGTCAGCCAGTGCAAAGTTGGAGCGTTGGCTGCTCACCCAAAGAAAGCACGAAAGCCCTGCATTGAGATAGCACCAAATCCCATCGTTGTTTGCAAATCCCATGGTGTTCATGATCTTTGCAATAACCCCTTGAATCATGTGAGCATTTCGGTCTGGCTTGTCCTCGTCAGTCTGGATCAGGAGATCTCTTTTCCCTTGAGGAAGTCCTGCAGATCTTGTGCCAGCTTTGATCTCTGCATTGAGTGCGGGCGCACCCTTGCACCGATCAGGAGCCAGATCGAGGATGTCATCAGGGCCTCCATCAGATCGCGAAGAGCATTGTCCCTGGTGCATACCTGTAGTCTCCATGGAACCACCTCCTTCTGCTGCGAGAGGTTCATCAGAGCGTGAAATCGAATGACATTCGAAGGATGGGATAGGAGCTCCTGAAGTTGTTTCAGCCGCGCTTCCATCTCGATGCTCTTCATGGCAGGTTGGGTGTCTACCACTGTCTTCTTCCGTTTTGCATCCCACTTCAGGTGAGGGAACTCTCCGGTCTCCAGAATCAACAAGGATTGGAGTGCCCCCGTCCGCACTTTGGGATCCTCCTTCATCTTCTGGAACTCGGTGAAGCGGTGCAGCATGGTATTGGCAAGTTCCTTCGTGAGGTGGCAGCGAAGCGGAACCTGAGCTTCCCCCTTCTTCATGATCTCGCTCCAGGCCTGTCCGGCCTTCACCAGTAGAGAAGTCAGGCCGCTTGCCTGGTTTAAATACAATACGTAGCTGCTTTCGGTCAACTGGCTGTTGATGCTGTCCTCGTGACGGATGGCGAGAATAGCCATGCTGCGAACAATTGCCATCATGCCCTTTTCTGCGTTTTGCTGACCGGAGTGGTGCTTCGGCGGGTTCGCTTTGTGTCGTTTGGGAGGCTGATCTGTCTTCTCTGATGGTTGCAGCTGCTGACCCCATAGGTGAGCAAAGCTGGCTTCGATCTGGCTGAGGCGGTCTTGATCCATCGGGATCACACCTTCGGACTGGGTATTTGCCATGCAATGAGATGATCAACAACCCGATGTTCTGTGCTATGGGACACTTGTGCCGAAGTTGCTGCCATGCCGATCCATCTTCAAGGTTATAGGTATTGGTGGGCAAATCACATGCTCGACACAGTTCCGTTTTCCCGAGATGACGGAGTTGGCATAGGGCAACATATTTGAATGTTGAAGGGAACTCGGTCAGCAATTGCTTGTGTGATTGTTCGAAGTGAGCTCCCAAATTATTAGCACTTGTGCATCGGCAAATACTGCAATGTTGCTTGAGTGCCCGACAGATGTCCTTGTGCTGCCAAAGGTGATCGAGTTCCTGGCGCATCAAGAGTGGAATTAGCCCAGGAGCGTCTGAGTGCAATCTGGGATTGAGAGTAGCTGTGTACTTCATGATGTCAGAGTCCATGGCCAAAGGCCAGAGCATCCATCTGTTGTCTGGGTTTGCGAAAGTGTGGAGAATTCCGACTTGTCGGTAACCCGGGCAGCTGTGTCTCTTCCCTTCTGGATGAAACGGGTTGCATCTTCATCCCCGATGATGGCACAATTCCAAAAGAACCTGATGGTACAAATCCGAGGCACGGAAATGCTCTGGGTGTTGCTGTTGTAGGTGCCGAATCAGGTCTACCGTCCTGGTGCATTGCTGGTGACATATCACACAAAGCTGCGTAAAATATAGCGATGTGTCTGGATCAATCAACATAGCGTCCACGTCCCCTTGTAGCAGCAACAATTTCAAGTTCGTGTCGTTCCGGATGGTATGTGGTGGGTCCAAATGTAAGTCGAAGGACGCACACAGCTGCCTGTTGATGTGGCGTCGCAAGCCCCATGTGTCATGAAACGTCTGTTTCCAATGTACACATACTGCACAACCGTTGTCTGGATCCCTGGCTGCACTGTAATGTGAGTGTTCTTGCTCAATATGTTGTGTCAAGGCGGTCTGAGTTCCAAACATCTGAGCACAGTGCATGCAGACACGCGGAGTGGCCGTGAGTGGAATCTGCTCCTCAGTGGAGGCTCCATCGGCCTGTGCCAAGAGAGCCAATTGCAGCTTCACAGGACATTGATGCGTGTGCTTAAAGGATGTCTCACAAAAAGCACAAGGAGAGGCCGCGTTCGAATAGGTCCAGGCCGCCTGTTGTCTGATTGCTGCAGCTGCTAAGGAGCTATGTTCCAAACGAATGTGTCGTGTGTGTTCCCGCGGTGCAGGGCACGTCTTGGCACAAAGAATGCATTGCTTCGACATGAAATGACACAATTCCGCATTAAGCTGTAGTCCCTGCCAGTTGAGAGGGCTCAGAAGAGCCCGCGCAGTGTCCTGATAATACTTCAGCAAATCTGAAGCCTCCTGAGTTGGATCAAAATACGTGCATCGATTTTTCTGAATATGTTCTAGCAAATCTTTCCACGAGTAAAATTGGTGCGAACAATGGGCACATGTGCTGTTTCCATCTTTACTATCTCTTTGTATATTGAACGTGTTCCGTCCCATAACCGTGATATGATGGACCACTGTGAGATGATGTCGAAGATGTTTCTGCGTGGAAAACAGTTCTGAGCACCAGTCGCATTGTAGCTCTCGCGGAGGTTGGAGGTCCATGTGGATTGGTCCTGTCAGCAGGTCATTGATCAATTGTACGATGTCTTGTACCTTGCCATATCGACAGCCATAAACAATGTCTGATGTTGGCACTTTGGTGTCTCTGGCCTGCAAGGCGGTGAGCTCAGCAATTCCCCGCGTTCGGAGAGTGACAAGTAGATGTTCAATCTGTTGTTGTTTGAGGAAGTCATCATGTGTGATGCGACATCTGTATTGATGTTGATGACTCATCCTACGATAGTGGTTCAGCATCATGCTTGTGATCTTCTGCAAGCCCAACTTGGTGGCACCTACCGTGAACAAAGCAAAAGTGGCCGTGTTGAGAACTGTCGTTTTCCAGATCTGCATTCTCTGAGAAAAAGAAAACTTCGATCTATGCTGTAGCCATGGCTGCAATCGTTTATATGTCACGTGCGCTGCCTGAATGCGTGCTTGAAGAATTCGATCATGCCACTGCTTGTAACTAATTTGTACGCCCAAGTATTTTATATTCTCCTGCAGAGGTAAGAAGGTGGTCGAGCCATCGGCCCTTGGAATACGCAAGTTCCAGCCATGTCCTCCTTTCTTTGCATATTGCCCGTATTAAGTCTAACCACCACGACCATGAAGCACTAACATGGCTCTGGATTTTGCAAGGTTAATGTTGAGGCCAATTCCCTCAAGAACATCGAGCAGTTGTCCAAAACGGATCAGGATCTTCTCCAGTTCATCTGCAGAGGTGAATGTTGAGGCAGAGTGAACATCATCTGCATAAACCGTGACATGATCAAAAAGCCAGTCATCCCCCTGCAATCCTTGGAGATCTTCCAAAATTCGATGTGCAAAGAATGCCCAGAGGTTGG